AAGTTAGCATCAACAGGACCATAAACGTTTGTGACTTGAATAAGTTTTCCATCTTGTAGTTTCAGTCTCAGAGTGATTGAGAAATTACCAATTCTGCAAGAAACCAAAGAACAGAAAGTAGGGTCCCAAAGGCTCACAATTCCACCAGCACTCCCCAAGGGAGCCAAGGCCTTCCATCTGACCTGACCCTCCCCCCAAACACTTCGAATTGTAGCAGCATCAATCCACTCCAGCTTAGTTTCTTGGAGCAAGACAATCTTACACTTCGATTGCTTCAAAGAATCACATACCATCATCCTCCTCCTTCCCGACCCCAGTCCTCTAACATTCYAGGAAAGAATTTTCACTTCCATAAGAAAAAACTAAAGAAAAGGACCCACACTTCACATCTTCTTAGACCCCCTTGCAGCCCCTTCACTGCTCCCCGCCTTATCATTCAGACCCCAAGTTAACCTCATCATTTCTCTACTTCTCTTTGTTTTTAATCCCCTTTTTTTTGCCATCAATTTTCCCCTCTCCATAAGCACTCTTTGTTCAATTCCTTCCAAGAACTTAATAGTATCAGCTTCCATCCCCTTCCATCGAAATTCCCAGGAAAGTCCCCAGCCCCAGAAGTTTCGATGTCACCCAAGAAGATTGATTAGTTTCAGACTTACTGTACTTGCCTACCTCCGCGGCTGATGAACTCGCTTTCCCCTTGTTTCCTAACAAGGCTTCTCCATTGCTTCTCATTTGCTTGGGGCTTACATCATTATTTCCCAACTCTTTGGATTGATCAAGACAATTTCCTACATTCCCACTATGAACCTCATTACCCACCACCGCAATAGGGGTCGCCACCAATAGAGTCTCTTCCACTGGCACCAGAGGCAACTCTTGACTTTGTTGCCGCCTGTTGTCCATCTCTCACGCACTTTTTGAAGAAGACCGAACTTTTTGAGATGAAGTAGCAGCCTGACTCTGATCACCATATTATCAGGGCTAGGAATGTGGGCTAGAGGAGAACCAACACTTGGATTCAACTGTTGTTTGGATGGCAGACTAACCCAGGTCGGTTCCAACCGAACCGGACTATAATTTGTTTGTCTACCAGTGGGCCACCGAGGCTCACTAAAAAACTTTTTACCTTCAAGTTTCTTCGCCAATTGAGTAGAGCGGGTAGACAAGGATTTAAATCTAGCTTGACCCAGATCCGGAACTTGAGTCCAAATATGAATCTCCTCATCTTCCTTGGAATCCGATTCGGCCCCTTGTCGAGCCTCCCTCCCCTTAAACCTCGAGACCTCCACGTCTGATTCCGCATGTAGTTCTTTAATGCATTGCTTTATGAGAGTTTTTAAATCCTCCACCCTCGGAAAATCCCCACTTCTTCCCTTCATTAATTCCGGCGTGCAAGATTCAAAGCACTCAACCTGAGGACGATCCTGGTCGTCCAGCGGAACTGCTTGTGGACGGATCAGATTGATCCCACGACCATCTTCTTCCCCTCCGTCGACCTCCAGTGAGCTACTCAGTGGCGGTTTGAAACTCAATGACCTTTTATGGAACTCTTGCGGCAGTGAGCTTTCTCCCTCGTCTTCTAGGACCACCGTGTTATAGATTTCTGAGCTCCTTCCCTGCAATCGGATTGACTGTTCTCATGAATCTCCTGTGTCCAACTTCGGATCGTCGACAGCGACTCAGGCCAAATACAGATTTCAAATACCGACTCCCCCACAACAACCTCCACTTTTTCAGGAATCTTCCCAGACCTTTTCACCTTCATTAGAACCCACTCACGGGTTGAAAGATCCTCAGGGGAATCATCGGTTTCCACGAAACCACCGCAAGCATTCCCTATGTTCTTGATCACACTCGACCACCACAGTATCAGAGGAAGACCATACACCCTCACCCAGATGGTTTTTGAACGGTCTGAATCTTCGCTTGATTCCGAATAGAAGCAGCCAGCGCTTGCCCCCCACCAATCCAGAAAGAGATGATTTCTCCCCATTTGCCATGGACCCTACTTAAGGATCCAAGCCGTCGCTGATCTCGACGAGAATATGAACAGGAAGAGGTCATCGGCTAATTTCTTTACTTTCACTCCTCCCAACATCTACTTACCCAATTTTCCACTTCATGAAAACCCGCCCTCCACTGAAATCTTCCCACCAAGCAATCTCTTAGGAATCTCCTTCTGGCCTCTACGCCTTGGGACTCTGTAAATATCATTTGTCTGTCCTCCACCTTCTTGATTTCAGACTGCCCAAAATTCGGCCAAACTCCAGTCGTAACCGCCTTACTGTAAGAGAAGTCCGGTCTCCTCCTCGCCCCCTTCTCCACACCCCTGTACCAATTCCTAGCTTCCCATCTCCTTCCACCTCTCTGCTCTTTCCGAAGAGATCTACCTCGAAACAACTTCACCCCGAGAGGAGGTGACCTTGTATTATCATTCTTTCCTAGTTCCATGCTCCTGGAGGCTTACAACTCACAATCATGTAATTTCCTTTGAAAACATTGCTTCCACAATTCAATCAATTTCTTATGTAAATTATGGATAATTGTTAAGGAAATATAGCTATGGATCCTAGGGAACTACCCTAGGACATGTGTTTTTTACTTAAAAAATCCATCACCTAGGCAACTAGGTGACAAGGCACCCCCCTATCGCCTAGCCTTGCCTTGGCTCCTTGAAAACTATGGGAGTCGTATAATGCATACCACACGTCTTAAGCTCTTCCGTTGTACTTTTTATCTTAGCTGATTAATAAATTTCATTCAATTATCAAAAAAAAATAAACATGTTCAGAAAATGAGTGTGGCAGAAATGTGAATGCTAAGATGATGAGCAGAAAACTAGAAAGGATAGGATCAGGAATGAAGCCATTTGTAGAATGAGAACCCCAAGAGCAGATCCAATAAGTGATAAAATGAGAGAGAGAGAGTAGACTAAAATGGTTTAGTGACGTGCATAGAAGACCACCAACAACTCCTGTTAGAAGAAGTGATTTGCTACAAGTGGAAATGGATAGAAGAGCTAGGGGTAGACCAAATAGGACATGGTTAGAAGTAGTAAGAAATGATTTAAGCACTAATAATTTAATGGTGCATATGGCTTTAAATAGAACGGATTGGCGAAACAGGATTCATGTAACCGACCCCATATATACTAATATGTAAATCATAACTTTTACATTAAACATAACATAATCAACAATGGGTACTTTATAATAATTTTTAAAACCCTTAAATTTATTCTAAGTGGACAAAGAGCAAAAGCATCAATTTTGTCACTTTATTATGATGTAATTATTCAAACAAGTATGTCCTTTTATAATTGCAAAAAAAGCATTAATAAATAATTTCATATATTAATGTTGACAATATTATAAATTGTTTATAATAAATCTTAAAAAAAATCTGATGTTTCCATAATATTTCTTATTTAAGTGGTTGACATTTCCATCAAAATATTATTCAAACAAGTATGTCCTTTTATAATCGCAAAAAAAAATATTAATAAATAATTTCATATATTGATGCTTACAATATTATAAATTGTTCACAATAAATCTTAAAAAAATTTGATATTTCCATAATATTTCATATTTAAGTGGTCATTTCCATCAAATTTGACATTTTAAACCTTGTATGCACAAGGTTCATATATTATAGGTCAGACGAGCTCAAGTTGGATCAGGATCAGGCTACCTGATGCCTCAACCCAAGCTAGGGCCAAGATCATGTTTCCAGTCCCAGGCCTAACACAACCAGAAAATCCAAGCAAAACCCATGCAAAATCTCAGCTGAGACCATCTAAGTTGCATCTCAATGAAAGATGTGCCAAAGTTATTTGAGAATAGAAAGGATATTACCAATGCAAGTTTATGGACAGAATGAGTCTGTCGAGCCTCTTCCGATCGTGCATAGAATGCCATGCATAAGGCATTTATCTATAAAAATAACAGCACAAAATAATGAACTCAGTATTATTTTAAGTAAAGAGTTTTCCAAGTTATGTAACTAGCAAATTCACATCTGATACTGGTGTGAATTCATGACTAGTAATAAAAAAAGAGATAAATAAATGACCATGCTTTTGGAAAAATCATGGCTCAGCACAAATCCAACAAGACTGTTTAATGTAGCTAATTTTCATAAAGTGAAGCAACAAGGGTTCTGATGCTGCAAGGTTGGAAATGAGAGGATAAAATCTACATAAAATCATCAAATAACCCCTGCAAATACAGAGCTTATTTCAGGAGCCTTGTGCTATCAAACTAGAAACAGCAATCAACTTGAGTGGTTTAGGCCTACCATGGGTCGAATGCATAAGCAAAACCGCATTAAACAATCAAAGAAACAACCAGAGAAAGCATGGTTACAAAACATTTTTTATCATTTACGTGGTTGCAAAACATTTATCTCCCATGTTTGCCTCTTTTGCCTTGGGATGGTGAATCGAGACCACCTTCATCCTTTTTGGCAGATTGCCATTTCAGGGCATTTGGTGCTTCTTCATGGGGTCACTAGGACTCTCTTGGGACCTTCCTGGACATGCAAATGAATTATGGTAGAAGTGGCTATAGAGGAAATACATTATGAAATTTTACCCAACAGGGAATTTTCTGGGGCTTTGTGAGAAGAAAATAAATAGGTCTTTGACAGGGAAGTCAAGTTCCTCTCCCCATCCTCATGGACATGATTCTTGATTCACAAGACCCTATGAAGCTTGACCTAAAGAGGTGTGGAGGGACTTATCATGTTGGATGTAATGTACTAATGTTAAAGCTGAATTATTGGCAAAAGATGAGTCTTCATAGATTGTATAATAGCAGCTTTATGCCATTATAAAGATCTCCCCTGTTTATGCATATCATGCACACATGCTACAATCAAAATGGGGAAGCATTATATAATATCCACAGACAAAAGTGAAACTTTAGAATTCACCTTTTGCCTTTTTTGATATTCAAGACCTGTCTCGCCATTATAATGAATGCAATGATATAGTTCCAATAATAATTTAGGCAAGAAAATGCAGCCAGGACCAAAAAGATAAGATTTGGGCTCAGTTGTAAAGCTTTGATTTTTGAGATAAGATATGTTATCTCCAATTACCTTTTTCTCTTTTAATTAATGAAAGTTACAGTAATTGATATTTAGAAAAAAGATAAATGGTTATGGGATTGTGGAATGAAAGAAACGCCAGAATTTTGGCTGGCAAACAATCAAAACAGCACGTGGTAGTATAGGAATATGATCAAGGAAATTGTAAGTCTAATGGGGCAAATGAGTACGAGACTAGAATGGGTTCCTCAAGCTGCCAATAGTATGGCAGATGGGTTAGCAAAGCAGGTTGCTATAAGAAATCATTTGATTTGGGGAGAGTTGTAATTCTATCAACAGGGTAGCTGAGGCTATCTAGCTTACTAAACAACTTGTGGACTCTCCTTTTTTTTATCATTGATAAAATTCCTTCATTGTTACTGATAAAAAATAAATAAACAAATAAAATGCCAGATTATTTTAGAAGGCAAGAAGGGCTGGGAGTTGATTTATATAACCATGACAAGGGCTGCTCATTGAGCTTTGGTATGTAAGGACTTCAAAGGCATCACCCTAAATGATCTCCAAAGGGGATGGAAAGCTGTTGCTGATTTTCAAGTTAGAAAACTTGAAGGGATGGTTGGTTGGATTGCACCAGCAGCAGGCAAACTTAAATTCAACCTTGATGGGCAGTGCCTTGAAAATCCAGGAGACTCAAGTATCAGGGGTGCGATCAGGGACCACAATGGAAATATACTCAGTTGTTCTGACCCTATTGGTGTTGGCGTTTGGCAATTCTCTAAGGGATGAACTGTATCCCTTAATTCAGGGGTTAAAATGATGAGTATGAAGAGAATGAAGATTGCCAGACAATAATTTGTTGGATGAGAACTCATTACATGATTCCTTGGAAATTCAGGCCAATGGTGAGATGGGCACAAACCTTGGGTTCCATCTTAAATAGCTCATTCAAATGGGTGCCTAGAAACGCTAATGGGTTGGCAGGCTCTTTAGCTAGGGCAGGAGTAGTAAGGAACCAGCTAGAAGGGGTCCATAGGGTGGGGTTGCAATTTGTAATAGCCATTTATTTTTTATTTTAATTTGACCTCCATGAAGATAGGAGCTACCATTTTACTATATGGCCTGCTGCTTACCTTTCTGAGAAGTGTGGTGGTTCTTTTTAATGAAATATTACCATCATTTATGACCAAAAAAAAGGTGCTTGCTTTTGTAGTTGTTGAACTTCATTAAGAGTCATACATGAAGGTTTGCCTCTGCCATTTTTTCAATTTGGGATGCTTTTTCACTTGCAATAGCTGCAGCCAATTCTGCCTTTGACAGCTCCTGGACCTTCTTCAGATGCAATTCTGCTTCATTTTCCTGCAGCAGACATATATTAGTCAATGCAAATTCAGTAGTACTCTACAAGAAATTAACTACATAGAAATTACATTCAATCTGTGAAACAAATAACGCACCTTGCGTTCTAGTTCCCTCTTAAGGTTCTCTTCTGCTTTCTCTTGAAGTGATTTAATAGTGGTTGCTGCCTTTGCTCTATCTTTGTTTAACTCCTGAAAATGAATTCACAAGAACATGAAATGGGCATTGTTATGGTAACCCAGGGCTCTCAAAGATTGGGGGTGTGATAAGAAATGAAACAGGAGCTACATTGTTAAACTTCTCAAGACCAATTAGAGAAGGAAAAACACAAGGGCATAAATGCTTGCTCTCCTGCAAGGTCTTAGATTGGCATACTCCTCAAATTATTCCAACCTAGTTGTAGAAAGAGATTGTCAAAAATACTTGCAACCAATATGAATTGCTCGTTCAATTGGACACAAAATTCAGCCAATAGAATTGCTCTATCATTGGCAAAGACAGGAGCCGTAAGGACAAACTTGATTGGGTGGATCTCAGGCCTGGGGATGGAATTGTCACAAAGGTGAATTCAAGCAATTAAAGAGTAAGCTATAGGCTGTGTTCCACTGCTTTTTTTTTTTTTGGAAAAGGTAAAGTAATATTTAATGAGAAAGAAATACACACAAGAAGCTGAGACCAGTCCCAGAACAGGCTGACTGATCTATTCAGCAATTACATAAGCCATCAAGACAAAGAAAAGAGTACATCTGACACATTACAGTTTCTAAAATCTGCCACCACAGACAACCAAGAAATCAGCTTGCCCAATAACTTCTGGGTTAAGTCCTCCAGACTTAGAAACTTGTTACTGAACACCCTTCTATTCCTCTCGGTCCAGATACACCAAATTACAGCACTTGGAATCATCTTCCATAAAGTCTTCTTTTTCTTGCTCAAGCCCAAGATATGCCAGCAGCATAACAGCTCTTTTACCGACCTCGGCATCACCCAACAAACCTTCAAGGAGTTGAGGAAGTGGTTCCACAGCTGAGCAGAGAACGGGCAGTGAATACACAAGTGATCAGTAGATTCAGCACTGCACCCACATAAGCTGCAAGACAGGTCCGAAATCTGAAATCCCCTGCTCACAAGGTTCTCCTTGGAAAGGCATTTATTAAGAGCCATAGTCCAAGCCAGGAAACTGGCTTTAGTCGGACTAATGGGATTCCACACTTGCTGAATTGGGAAATCAGGAACACCCCTCCTACCAAGCATAGCATCCAAAGATTTAACTGAAAACATCCCATCAGAATTCCACTTCCAAAGCCACTTATCCTCCGAGCTATAATCCAACTCTTGAAACTGGAGACAGGTCAGGAGATTCACTGCCTCATCCACCTCCCAATCAAAGAGATTTCTTTGGAAAGAGGGAGTCCAAAGAACTGAACCACCAGAAGTACTATAGCACTCAGCAACTGAGGCCTCTTGGTCTGAAGCACACTGGAAGAGAAGTGGGAAGGACTCAGCAAGAGGAGCATCTGTGCACCAAGATTCCTTCCAGAATTTGGTCCTATTACCATTACCAGCCCTGATTGAGATCTCCCTGGCCAGATCTGGAAAATGCTTCATTTTCCCTTTCCACAGAGAGTTACCCCAATTAGGAGGGGGATCCCTAGTTCTCCAATTGCCCCAACTCACACCATATTTGCTGGCAATAAGAGACCTCCACCAAGCATCAGATTCTACAGCAAATCTCCAAATCCATTTACATAGGAGGACAGAGTTAAATTGTTTCAGCTTCCTTATACCTAACCCCCCTTCAGATTTGGGGAGACAGGCTTGTTCCCAACTCACCAAGTGCACTTTTTTCTCCTCCTCTCAGCCTCTCCAAAGAAAATTCCTTTGAAGCTTTTCAATCTGATTTGCAAACTTCCAAGGAATGGAAAACAAAGATAGAAAGTAGGTAGGCATATTGGAGAGGGTACTCTTAATCAGAGTCACCCTCCCCCAAAAAGATAGGTATTTAGCCTTCCATGAAGCCATCTTCCTTTCCAATCTCTCAATAACTGGGTCCCAGATAGCAGAGGGACCACCACTCACCCCAAGCGGGAGACCCAAATATTTGACTAGAAGGGATGCAATATGACAAACCAGAATACTAGCACACTCAGCTAAATTGGAAACCTATCCAACTGGGATAACTTGGTTCTTATTCCAATTAACTTTCAAACCTGTAACCACTTCAAACCAACAGAGAATCCCAAGGATTAACTCCACCTGAGAGGGGGATGCCTCCACAAAACATAATGTATCATCTACAAATTGAAGAATATTCACTTTCTCTCCCCTCGACACCACTGCAAAACCTTCCCATTCCCCTAACACAGCAGCCTTCTTACAGAAAAGAGTGAGGATCTCCATAACACATATAAGTAGAAGAGGAGATAGAGGGTCTCCCTGCCTAAGACCCCTAGAATTATCAAAGAAACCTGCAAATTGTCCATTTACCAAGATTGAGAACTTTGGGGAAGAGATACAGACTTTAATCTAATTCCTCCATTTCTGCACAAAATTCATCTAAAGAAGCACAAGGTCTACACATCTCCAGTTAACATGATCATAGGCCTTCTCAATATCAAGTTTACAAATCAAACCCGGAGAACCTTCTTTTTTCCTAGAATGAATGAGATCATTTGCAATAAGAACTGAATCTAGCATTTGCCTACCCTTCACCGGCGAGACAACATGATCCCTGCTACGATTTCCACCGCTGGAAAAAGATCATCACCGCTAGTTCGATTCTCGCCGCTCAGAGTTCGCCACTCAAGTTCAAAGTATCTTTCTTTAAGATGAGGTTCACCAAGGTTTTTCTTCTTTGCTGAGGTATCTCAAAAGTATTAATTTTTAGAGGAGAAAGACCAAGTCCAAAGTCCTAAGATGGATATGTTGTACTATTTGTCATTCCCCTATCAATAGGGCATGAGGTTACTTTAATAAAGCCCTAAGTTGTTACTAATCAAAAAAATTTATCTTGTGGTAGGAGAGAACGCATACATAAGAGGATGTACAATAATGCAAAAGAGCTATAAATAAGTAGCTCTATACAAAAAAATTACTCTAGCTTAAGAGCTTCTGCTATATAAAAAAGCCCTATTATTCCCAGATTTTGCTAGTACCACTGAATTAATCTCTCAAAGAATTCATCTGATTGGAACCCTTGAACCAGCGAAGGTTTCTCGAATCCTGTTTAAGTGGGTGCATAGAGTACATATAAATGGCATTATCTGATCCACCTTCAGAGAGACCTCTTTCAAACCATGAGTAGTTATGTTATTCATACACGCCAAACTTCCTAAGACTTGTTAAAGACTTGTGGGAATTATGGTTATCGTCATGTATGCCCCACCTAATACTTTACAGGCCTTGTTAATCAACTAAGTCCCTCAAGGAAGTGCAGAATACATTGATTGATCACTAGGTTCAAATGGTTCCTAAAGCAAAGCCACCAGAGAGACTCTTTCAAACCATGAGTAGTTATGTTATTCATACATGCCAAACTTCCTAAGACTTGTTAAAGACTTATGGAACTTATGGTAATTATGGTAATGGTCATGTATGCCCCACCTAATACTTTACAGACCTTGTTAATCAACTAAGCCCCTCAAGGAAGTGCAGAGCACATTGATTAATATATTAATCCATCTGCTTGTCTCTATAAAAATACTAAGTTGTACTCCTTTATCGGTGAATAGCAAGATTTTTTTTTTTTTTGATAATTGTGAATAGCAAGAAATATACAGGTCATTGCATTTATATTTTGTTCCAATCAAGGGATGACACTCACTAGGCTGTGCTTCATAGCATTTTTTCGTTATACAAGTTGTTTTCTTCTAGCTTCATTTCAATGGTTAAGGTGATTTAATCATAACTAATGCAAATCACTAATAAATGCAGCTTGAACTTAACTTGCACCAAATGAGCTACAAAGTACAAACGTTAAGGAAAGGCAAGTCAAACTCCAGAAAAATATGAGAAAAAATAGGCCAAACAAAGTGTGGCATTTGTCTGTAAATTGTTTACAACCTTATCCAAGATAGCTGCCTCTTCAGCATACATAAGTTCCCTTGCCCGTGCATCCTTCAGTTCCTTTTCATACTTCTCCTAAATTACAATACATAGATTAGCAAGAAACAAAGATTTGAAACTGGTCAAAGGCTCGTGAAGAAACCAAATTGAAACCAATAATTCATAATTTTGAAACTTTTACTTTTCTAGAAAAGGTAAAAGTTCAAACCTTCAATATTCTCTTTTCTTCAGCAAAAACCTGTGCGTCCAACTCAGCTTGCCTTTTCTCAGCAGCATGAATAGCTTGTAAGAAATCAAGAACTAATTGTCCATCCTTTGATATATATGCAGTCTTCAAATCTTCACTAGTACCTAATGAAGCCTTGAGTTTCATAAAACCAAAATTTAGGATAACAGAAATAAGCAATTTTTCCAGATAGGATACAAGGACATATATGGATTATAATAGCATGCAAACCAAAAAATGCATATAGTATGGAAAAATTTCTTTCCATAAAACAACCTCTTTTTCTTTGTTGGAATATCCATAACTATCAGTGGTTTCCCTCATTAATGAAATTCCAGGGCTTCTTTCATCATTCTCCTGTAGAAAATATGTGTCAGGAAGAGAACTTGTTGGCTTTGCATCATTACCTAGTGCCTCCTGCAAAAGAATATCATTTGATGATGCTCATAAAATAAACTCAAGCAAAGTAGTCATGCAAAAAGAGTGAAAGTTCCGAAAAAAAATTCTCCAGTATGCAAGGTAAAAATAGGTCAATGATATAGGGTTCAACCAATGGCTCCAATACCACTTGAAGTAGGACCAAGGTTCAAACTATTAGTATCAGGTATTGTATCAGGAAGCTTGGATATGTATACACTTTGGATACAGTAACATGAATGAAACTCTTACAAACCACACAAATACATCAATAGCACTAAACCTGAGGTTGAAATAACTATGAATAAGGTATAAACACGTGAAAAATGCACATCTTAATTGTTTGTATGAAGAGATACATTACAATCAACAATATTGGGAGTCTAAAACATGTAGATATCATACAATAACTTACTAATAATACACCAAACAATGTCTAAGCTTCCAATCTACTGAAAATTCATTACAAGGGGAAAATATCATCTACCCTAGTTCAACAATGTTTAAAGTTGGCATTTCTTTCCAGTCCATGAGTGATCAGTGGGAACAAATCATTGGCTCTAATTCTATTCTGTATAGCTCTTTTTGATGTTTTGCAAATGCTGTGAATAGTTCATACTGAGTAAAACTTTTTTCTTAAAGGAGCTTTTTGTATCTATTGGGAATTTGGGATTTTCCCTTATAGTAATACAATACTTACCTTTCAAAAAAAAAGTTTGAAGTTTGCACCTGACAATGTCACAATTCATGAGCATCATTGGACATTTCATGACTGCTAGGGATGGAGGGGGGGGGACTCAAAACCAACTGAAATTTACTTTCAACCACTTTCACATAAGCAGTCAATCAAACACCATTATTTAGAATTTCCTATGAAAGGAAGTACTAAGAGTACAGCATAATATGCCATAAAGAATTATTGTAGTTACTAGTTGGTACTAATCTGTGTAAAATGAGCACCACATGGTATGAGACATTTGAAGGAAAAAAAAAAGGCAAATTATTACAGGAATGCTAAATTGTGGATCAGAATTCAGAGCACAAGAACAATGGATCAACAAATGTTCAGTATACCAATGATATAAAACCTTAAGAAATTGATTACACATACCGCTGAAATGCCATCTGAGGTATGATGGTGAGCTGCAACTGCCTCCATCTCAACTTCTTCAGAAATAGTCTTTCCATCAGGAAGAACTGGTGTACTTTCAGCCCCTTTATCCTGTTCCCTACTATCTTCTGGGGATGTAGAACTGCTGTCCATGCCTTTTGAAATAAGATCATTTTCAGTTGACATGTCAAAATGACTACCTTGACCATCAGATATCACACTGTCTTGATGGAAACTTGGTGAATCTTGCTCTTGGATGGGGATTGTATCCTCTGAAAGCATCACATGTGATCTATCTTTGACCTGACTCTCACCCTCACTTTTACCCAGATCCTGAAAAATGGGAGCATCTGACTGACCCTGGTTGGTTTTCTCAGTATGAATCATGTCAGAGCTTAATCCATTTGTCTCCTGTTTACTTGGGAGAACTAATTGCTCTCCTAAATGCCCTGTATCTCTTAAAGTTTTACTACTATCAGGCTTTGCAGAATCAGGGGTTGAATTATATTCTTGAACGTAAAGTTTATCCAAATAACCCATTTGATAAGCTCCCATAACAGCAGCACCAACTGCAACACCTCCAATTACAAATTTTGTGATACCACTTCCTGATTCAGATGGTTTTCCTGTCGAACCAGGCTGAGATGCAACAGAGTATTCTTTTCTAGACGATAGGAATGAAGGTATCTGTTGGAAGTATATGGACAACAAAAAAACTACCTCAATAAATAACAAATTTCAGGTACAAAAAAAACATATAGTTCCCGTCTCTACCAGAAACAAACAACAAAACATCCGTCCCCAAATACCTTTTACCCTTTATTTTAACAACACTTGCCATCATCAAAAGAAACAAGAGAAAACATCAACAACAACAATAAGAAAGAATCGCAAACATGTAAAACGAAATTCATCGAAATGATAACGAACGAGTTAAGCTACATCAGCACGAGGTATTTGCGATGCAAGCTGGACATACTTGAGTCATTATCTGCCTCGGTATCCGCCTGACAGAACGACCTGATGAAATTTCCCAAATGCACCTGTTGTAGGATATATAATATGTCAAATCGTCATTACTCCGTTAACTGATATCCATTTGTCCCTAATCTTTAATGATGACATTCGTATCCACGATTAAGACAAGAGAACTAGAAATGTGAATTCCAGTAATTAACTGTTGCTGATAGGTTCTAAACTGAAAGTACAAGTGATAAAAACCCTAAGAACATTGAGGTTGTGCATTAAGAGGGAAGACTCATTCCAGCAATGCACAGATCGAATTACAGATATATACCCAACTGAAATAGCATATTAGCTAAATTCAGGGAAAATAGAAAGAAATTCAATGTCCCATTACTCTTCTGAAGCATGTCAAATGTAGGGAAAGCAAGAGGAGATAACCTCACCTTCGCATCATCGTCGTCTTCGTTCGTGATTCAGGGAAATAGAGTCATGAAACTCTGTGAAACTCACAGCATGTAAATAGTTTAGGAAACGTAAGGGGGAAAACAAAGAGAGAAACAACAGAAAAGTGAAAAATGGACGGACTTTGTTTTAGTTTAATCCTCCCAACATAAAAGGAGTTTCGGTGTGAATGGTTGCAGTTAACGGTTTTTATTACCAAGAAGCGACGGCAGGCCAGGAGGTAGACGGGAAAGGAGCTTGTCCGGTATCGATACCGTTGGCTCGAAGCTCTCGCTGCTACATGTCTGGGTGCCGGAAGACTTCCCTTCGTTTTGTACTCGCCCCAGAAGCCAGTGTGTAAAACGATGACGTGGAAGATGGACCCACGAAACTTTTGATGATCGAATAGGCCTGTTAAATGGTCCGGGTTAACCCGGCAAATCCAACTCTATCCTATACATCACGCAAGTTTATATAGTAGGAGAATGACGGTTCATACCAGGGTCAGAATTTTTAAGCTCAAATTTCAACTGCGCCAGGTGCTAACTTGGAATTGATGTCAATTTACTTAGTTCAGATCAGAATTTTATAGCCCTAAAATAGAGGAGAAATGCATCTTGATCGTGAATTGATACCAAATTCACGGGCAGGATGTGGTTTATAGGGGGGAAAGAGGTAGTAATAGGAGGGGTTGGAATTCAGAATTCTGCATTGTATGTATCCGTACTTCTCCGATTTACTTAAGGGTAATGGAGATTTTTGACCTTTTGAATGTTCATAAATCTGCAGTAGAATTCAGAAATTTGTATTAAACCAGTCTATACTTTCCTATTTTTTTATAAACTAGTATAATGGCCCGTGCCATACACGAATATTTGAACCAATGGTTGATTAACCACAATAAACATTGAGGTCCTGATTCAGCCCCAACACCTCAATGTATCAAGTTGGAAAGGAGGTTGCGTGGACTTTTCGTCAAGAAATCTCTGATTGGTTCGTTTGAAGATTTGTTACTGTCTAATTGTTTGTCATCCGGCAGACTATTTCAATATGTGGGTATCTTTTCCAGTTTTCTTAGCAAAAACCTATACAAGGAAGATTGAGGCTGAAAATAAATGTAAAATCTTCTTAAGCAATGAATTGACAGTTGATTGGACCTAACATTGAATAGTTTCATATGGGTTTGGGCATATCTAGTTAGCTTCGTTTATATACAGCCTAAGATATCAATTGCAAGTTTGAAAATGGTGATATAATCATAACGAAATATAAATGAAGGTGCAAATATTTTAGACAATATTAATTCATATTGCACAAATTAAAAAAAAAAAAGAAATAATCAAATCTTGCTGCAATAGATATAAGAAATAATGGAATATAGTAGGAATTTATGGACAGATACAAATAAATAGTGAATTCCCTATGGCGTCTAAATTAAGAAAGTTTGTAACCAAGATACAAAGACAACATTAATGTATCATATAAAAAAAACAATGTTTTTTAGATATATGCTAAATAGGATAGAATATATCTGGCTTTCTACTTGAAATCACTAATCTGAAAGTCTACTTATTCCATACTTTTATTACTTGTATCAAGGTTTCACTGAGTTAAAAACAGAAGTGTGGCAAGAAATCCACCTAGCAAAAAATGTTTCAAACTATTTGGAATTTGCAAAAAAAAAAAATGATGGATTCTTACAGGGAATTGATGGTTAATTGGACCTAATATTAAGTAGTTTCAGATGGGTTTGGGTATATCTAGTTAGTTTTAGTAACTAACAATAAATGCTAGCTGATGTTGCTCAATTCAAAGTTGTGCATGAACTGAGGAGAGCAATTAGATAGTTCTTGCTAATAGGGCGGGGCCGAGTTACAAGGACGATGCCACGCTTCAAGACTTGTGATTAAGAAAGGAGGAGTCAGAGGTCTGAGGAGCTATCCCCAGGTAGGTACTCCGACGCTCAAGTCAGTAGGAAGTGATGGATGGTCGGGCCGAGCTAATTAATAGTATGGGTGATAGAAGTTGGGGATCCCTTACCTCGAGCATGGAGTACCTTTTTATAGCCAAAGATCTGTGTCTTGGTCGAATTGGGCTTCCGGGGTTGTCAGGATGAGGTTAGCCGCCAAGGTATTCAGATAAAGTCCCATTCCCCATCTGAGTCATCTTCTTTATTCCTCTTTATCCGTAGTTGTGCTCATCCACGTGATGTGTAGTTAACATGGCTGAAAGGAGAAGATGGGGGGCCACCATAATAGTGTAACTCAGTCGAGCTATGCCAACATGGTCGAGCTAGGCCAGTCAATAACTAGGCGGCCACATGTCCCGTAGGGCTAGCTCAACCATGACCCAAACACCACTCCCCCGATTCTGAAGTCGAGGAATAAAGTAGTCTGATTCGTTCTTCAGCTGAAGAACTTCAAGTTGATGTCTAAATGGGCGTCTGACCTCTTTGGAGTTCCTCGACGCCTGTCGCAATCTTGAGAATCGGGCAATATGAAACGTGGCCGAGGAATCTTCCCATCGTTGGCTACAGAACTCTAAGAGCTCTGACTTCGGAATCCAAACACTACTCCCCCAATTATGATGCTGAGGAGGGGGAGTGTCTGGTCCGAAGTGTTGCGCAATTGCGTAGCTTGGCAGTGTCGAGGTGTCAAACTGAGCTTCCAGGTCCGTCCTCCTGGTGGAGCCAAGGAACGGCTTTGGTTCCAAGTGGAAGTCGAGCTTTTGTGCCATGGTGATGCTCGGCCGTGGTGCGCCAAGCATTGTAGTTGGGTCCGAATTTCAGAGTTGAGGCCGTTGTGATGCTTGGCCATGATGTGTCGAGCTTCCGAAATCGGGGCTTAGCTCGGCTGTATGCTGAGGAAAGGCTTTTTGCTGTCGGTTGGAGGTTGAGCTTTGGAATTGAGGTTGTGATGCTCGGCCATGGGGCGTCAAGCTACGGAGACGGGGCCCTTGGGGGTGCCGAGCTGTGGAACTGAGGCCATTGCGATGCTCGGCTATGGCTTGCCGAGCTGTTGTGATGTTCGAGGGCCTACGGGTGCCAAGCTTGTTGTGATGTTCGGTTGTGGCTTGTCGATCTTTGAAGCTGAGCTTTGAAGTCTGCACCTCTCCAAAGCTCGATTGAGGAAGGTGTTGAGCTTCGAAGTCAGGGTCTCTCTAAGGCTCGGTAGCGCAGTGCTGAGGAGGGTCCCGAGCTTCGGAGTCTGTGCCTCTTCGATGCCGGGTAGCATTGCGCCGAGGAAGGTGTCGAGCTTCGAAGTCTGGGTCTCTCTAATGCTCATTAGTGTAGTGCTGAGCTTCAGAGTCTGCGCCTCTCTAAGGCTCGGTAACGTTGCGTCGAGGAAGGTGTCGAGCTTCGAAGTCTGGGTCTCTTTGAGGCTTGGTAGCGTTGTGCTGAGGAAGGTGTCGAGTTTCGAAGTATGGGTCTCTCTGAGGCTCGATAGCACAATCCCGAGGAAGGTGTCGAGTTTCGAAGTCTAGGTCTCTTCGAGGCTCGGTAGCGCAGTATCGAGGAAGGTGTCGAGCTTCGGAGTCTGCGCCTCTCCGAAGCCAAGTAGCGTCGCACCGATGAAGGTTCCGAGCTTCAAAGTCTATGTCTCTCCGAGGCTCGGTAGCGCTGCACCCCAGGAAGGTGCTGTGCTTCGGAGTCTGCGCCTCTCCGAGGCTCGGTAGCGTTGCGCCGAGGAAGGTATCAAGCTTCGAAGTTTGGGTCACTCTGAGGCTCGGTAGCGCTGCGCCGAGGAAGGTGTCGAGCTTCGAAGTCTGGGTCTCTCTGATGCTCGGTAGCGCAGTGCCGAGGAAGGTGTCAAACTTCGGGGTCTGCGCCTCTTTGAGGCTCGGTAGCGCTGCACCGAGAAAGGTGTCGAGCTTCGAAGTCTAGGTCTCTTCGATGCTCGGTAGCATAGTGCCAAGGAAGGTCCCGGACTTTGGAGTCTGCGCCTCTCCGAGGCTCGGTAGCATAGTGCCAAGGAAGGTGTCAAGCTTCGAAGTCTGGGTCTCTCCGAGGCTCAGTAGCATAGTGCCAAGGAAGGTGCCGACCTTCGGAGTCTGCACCTCTCTGATGCCCCACCGAGGAAGGTTCCGAGCTTTGAAGTCTGGGTCTCTTCGAGGCTCGGTAGTGCTGTGTCGAGGAAGGTGTTGAGCCGTTGGGCCAAGCTTCACTGATGTTGCGCCGACGATGGATTCTCTATTCTTTGATTGAGGAATTTGTAGCTTAAGTTTCGAAGGGTGGAGTGCTCGGTTGAAGTGTAGTGCGACTTCCCTTGGTCGGCATTGCTGTCGATTGCCTTGCTGAGGATTGAACAGCTGCGGGTTGCTCTTAGAATTTTGTCTTCTTTTGTCTTTTTCTTCTTTGATAGCTCGTTATGTCGAGCTTTAACCTGTTGTATTGATGGCTTAACTTAATGAAACTGTTTTGTTCTAAACTTGTGTGCATACATACGAGTTGGTCCATCGGCTTTACCTTGGCCGAGGTCTGGGGTTGACCGAGATCTTCAGTCTTCGGCTAGTGGGGCCGGAGTATATTCCAAGATCTCATCTTTGGGACGCTCAGTTTCTGGTCTCGGGAACCTTTGGGGCCCTTTGTGGGTCAACCGTTGTTCAGCTGGCTCTACGACGTTTTGTCGCCGAAGTACGGAGTACGATGACTGCCCTCAGACGCCTCAGAGGCGGGAGCGATCTTCTCTAATTTGGGCTCTGGTCGTTGATCAGCCGAGTCAGATGTTTGGCTATACATTACCGAGCTAGCTACTAGCTATGCGTTAAGGGCTCGAGCCAATATAGGTTGGCTGAGTCGGTTTTCTGAGTCGGTGATACACTATTGAGCTTCGTGCAGTGCCCACTAGTAGGTCAGTCGATTCAATACTGTGCGGTATTTTCTGCGTGACCTGCATGATGTATGTGCAATGTGTCATGCATGTGTCGGTCAGTCAGCTGTGTAGCGCGGTGGTGCAGCGCGGTTGTGTAGCGCGTCCATGTAGCGCGACTGTGTAGTGCAACTGTATAGCGTAGCGGTGTAGCGCGACTGTGTAGCATGGCGGTGTAGGGCGACTGTGTAGTGCAGTTATGTAGCGCGGCTGTGTAGCATGGTAGTGTAGGGTGACTGTATAGTGCGACTGTGTGTGTGGTTGTCAAGCTCGCGGGA